AAATTATTTATATATAATAAAAGTTAATTTATTAATTAAAAAAGTTTGTGGTTATTGAGTTGTTCTTACGTTTTCGTAAATCACATGGGTTCTCGTTTGAACCTCTACCTATATAATTAACCTGGATATCCAACTCGTTTGCAAGTAATCCAGAGTCCTCGTATTTGAATCTTTATGATCACAAAAAGATTTTTATTTATCATTAAATTTAAATCTAAAACCTTCAAACACTTTTAAGTTTTCAAACTCAATCTCAAACCAATCAAACATTAACATCAATAGTGTCGTTAATAATTTTATTTTTGCGGTGTGGTGCTGATGTCACGGTACCTCTGTGGGTCCCAATTGTATGGCCCATCCATAAGAACAAAATGAAAGAGATTAAGTGGGGCCCAGAATCAAATCGATCTAAGTTGGTGGGTCTCCAACTCTCCTTTTATCCCTGCCGATGGCCGGCGGTCGGTGCCGTAATTTTGTCCTGTTATCGGAATGAGCTCCACACGTCCATGGCTTCAATCCGACCCCCACTCTTCCGGAACAACTACTGCCAATCCCTTTATATATATTATTGATGCTATTCATTTTTATTTTATTTTAATGTACAAGAATAAAAAATCACCGCTATCAAATTTCTCTAAATTTCTCGAGTTAAGTCACCATTTTTTCCATTTAAATTAACTTTCTAACCATTTTTTTTTTTGAATAACCCAAATGTCATTACTTTTGCAATATTGGAAACGTAGCTAAAAATCAAAATTTCAATACAAATGTGCAATTGTGACCAACCAGGTTCGTAATTGCGACGATAAACTGGTTGAATTTGACATTTTTTTTGTCTTTTAGCTAGGTCTGCAATATTATAGGTTTGGATATTGTGGACGTCATGACATTTGAGTCAACCTGAAAGAGAAATTGTTAGGAAGTTAATTTAAATGAGAAGAATGGTCATTTGAGCTAATTTCTCATATCTCTATCTTGTCTATATCTATCAATCAAAATCAAATGCATCCAATCATTTATTTATTGAGAAGATAAAACGAATAGATGAATTAAGTATAATAACGACATAACTTTACGTGATTGATATAAGAAGACATAAAACTTTGAGACATGATTTTTATCAGTTTTATATTAATCATCTACTCTTTTTTTCTTTCAAAAAAGGTGTCGGGTAAATATATCTCCTTCGACAAAGAAAAGAAGTTTGCACTCAAATAATACATATCAATCAAATATACTTATTTTTTGAATTTGTTGAAAAAGACTTGATCAATTAATTCTAGCCTAACTCAACAGCTAATTTTTTAAAAAATTATTTGAAGTACCGTTTCAGTAAGTTTTAAAGGTTTATTTTTCACTTTTTTCAAATTAATTTATCAGAATATATTATTTAATCTACAATTTGGGTTGTGACGTACTGGTTATGCCTCAAAGGATGTAGTGGAAAATCTCATATACTCTTTGTTCGAATCCAAGCGTTGCCAAAACCCTTGTGCTATGTAGGTTCACTTGTGATGACTGATAACTCCAAGTCATTCGTGGTCGTCCTGTGAGTTAGTCGATGCAAGTAATTTGATCATGAAACCCACCGTTACATAAAAGAAAATAATTTAGCAGCTAGTTTTTATCAAATATAATTACTTTATCAAATAACTTATCAGTCAATAACTAATTTATCAGTTAATAAACATAATATAAAAATGATGCACATTATCATCAAATAATATTAACATACCCTTGTTACATTTTGCAGAAAACTGAGAGAATGTGGTGTCATTTTATCATGTGTATAAAAATGTACATGCATTATTGATTTATCAGATTATTTAAATACATTGTTATCAATAACAATAACTAAACATGTTTGTCCTTAAACATTTAATTTAATAAAAAATTACGCTTTCAAAGGTTATGATAAAAAAAAAGTCACATGAATAGCATTGATGAGGTGTTTGGACAATATTTATCATAAATATATAGTTTTAAGATATAGGGGTCGTTCACCAAACGCTTACTCGGGTAAGTGAATACCAAGTCATATTATCTTACCGGATGAATATCGTAAGGACAAAAGATTTTACTCAGTAAGAGTGAGACAGTGACTAAGGGGTCGTTTACCAAACGTTTATGGGGGTGAGCACCTACCAAGTCATATTATTTTACCTGATGAATATGTTAAGGACCAAGAACTTACTCGGTAAGAGCGAGACAATGACCAAAAGTCTTACCCGATAAATGAGAGCGATAACTCTTACCGGGTAAATTATTGCATACAATGTCGTTTCGGTGGACTAAAATCTTACCCGGTAAGTAAATGATGGTGTTAATTTTATCGGTAAACACTTACTGGAGAAGTGTTTGGTAAACGGCCCCATAGATTTTTTTATAAATCTTACTATTTAGTTACAATTTGTTTTAGAAATCGAATGTGAAACACTAAGGGACTGTTCGGTTGGTTTTTCATTAAATCATGTATGAATAAAGTTAACTATGTACATAAAGCTTTCTGTATTGATTTATTTAAATTTTTGTTCAATTGTTATGCTGAATAAATCATTTGAATAATGGAAATGACAATTTTACGCTTTGATTTAAACAACACTTTTTTGTATCCGACAAATCAAGAACCTATACAATGAACAACGAACACATTTTCGTGATCAATATTTTTTACAACTTCTTTTACCATTTTTTGTATTGGGGTTGAGTTCACGTGAGACCCAGGGTTTTTCGTGAGACCCATAAGACTAATTTATGTTCATTGATCAACTTTATAAACTAATGATCTAATGGTCTAAAGTTGCACGGTGACAATTTTATGATTATTGAAAAGCCTCGTGGCAATTTTGTGATTATGAATGTTCAGATTGTAGATATAATCCAAGTGTTGAGAATGATCTTACGGGTGTCACGAAAAACCCTTTGTCTCACATGATTCCAAGTCATTTGTAAACCAATACATCAAACAAATCATAAACAACAAGTAAATATGGAAACAAGGCTATGAAGAAGAAGCAAATTTATGGAGATCAAACTTTTTTACAAGATCTGTAACAAAAAAACCAGTAACCAAACCAAAATCCATGAACAAATGAAACCTAGAAATTTCAGATGGGGAGGAAGAAACTGTAGGAACATCAAAAAGGAGAGACGAAGAAATTTTAGATGAGGACGAAACAGTTGAAACGTCAAGAAGAAGAGACCTAGAATTTCTAGACGAGGAGGGAACGGTTGAAACGTCAAAAAGAAGAGACCTACAAATTTGAACAACAAAGAAGAGGAGGAGGAAACAGCAGGAGGCAAGGAATTCCAGAAACTCGATTTCATAAACAACAACGAGAAATATAGGTAAATCGTTTAAGGCTATATAGGTAAATCGTTTAAGGCTGAATGTAGACAAATGTCCTTTTCAAATTGAGCGAAAAAAATTAACGTTATTTTGTCCTATTTTTTTTCATTCTTATAAAAACTTAAAAAATATGAAATTTTTTACAATAAATTCTATTCATACCTTCTCTTATAAACGCTCAATAACATAAGGTTTCAATAAACTTGAGGGCCAAGGGATAAGAATTTAATAATTTTCGAATTTATAATTATAAATTTAAACAAAATTCGTTGCCATTATTTGTGATTAACAGTTTTTTAATTAAAAAGTTATAAAAGCTGAAATCCTCTACACAATCAATGTGTCTTTTGCCTTTGCACGTCTTCCATTTATTGTCTCCTTTTTTTCCTTCTCCTTTCTTCCATATTTTCTGATGCATCCATACCCTTTTCACGTTCTCAAAGATTGAATTCGAAGTTCTATTCCCTTTAGAATCCAGAGGAATGATCGGATTGATTTTTGAGAATCACCGGGTTTAATTGATGAAGAATTTGGTGAATTGAAATCCGTATTTCATGTTTTTGGCGGGAGATTCTTGGTGAAGGTTTGCTTTTATATTATTCCTTTGATCGTCTTATCTTGGCTAAAGAAACAGGCACGTATATGTGTGTTTGGTAGCTATATTTATCCAGAAATTGATTGCAGAGAGATTTGTTCAAGTACCTGGGGTTTTAATTGCAAAGTGTGACGCTTTGGATAACAATCGATCGTTGTTATTACAAGAAGAAATGGCTTCAAATCATTCATCGTTGGAAATGCTACAAGAGCCGAGCATCGACACCGATAAACTCAGCTACGAGATTTTTTCGATCCTCGAAAGCAAGTTCTTATTCGGTTATGACGATCAGAAGCTCTGGAAACCCAAACAGGCTTCTCCAGAAGATTATGTTACGTCAAACGCGGTGGCCGATTACGACGGCGTTCAATCGATGAAGAATCAGAGAGGAAAAATCTGCGTTCTCTCAATTGACGGTGGAGGAATGAGGAGTATTTTAGCCGGTAAGGCCCTAGCGTACCTTGAAAACGCGTTGAAGGAAAAGTCCGGTAATCCGAACGCAAGAATCGCCGATTATTTTGATGTTGCTGCCGGCACCGGAGTAGGAGGAATCTTTACGGCGATGTTGTTTGGGAGTAAGAACCAGAGCCGTCCGCTTTTCAAGGCGGAGGATACGTGGAAGTTTCTAGCCGAGCAGGGGAAGCGCCTGTATAATCAGAAACCGATTTCCGGCGGTGGCGGAGGTTTATTGAAAAGGATTTTACGCGGCGGAAGCAGCGGCGGAGGGAGTACTCACGCTACCACTGGATTCGAGAACGCAATGAAAGAAGCGTTTACAGTCAACGGGCAGAGTTTGACTTTGAGAAACACATTGAAGCCGATTTTGATCCCTTGCTACGACCTCTCCAGCTCGGCTCCGTTCCTGTTCTCGCGAGCCGACGCTTTGGAAACCGACAGCTTCGATTTCCAGCTCTGGGAGGTCTGCCGTGCCACGTCAGCTTCTCCGGACTTGTTCGAGCCCGTCTCAATGAAGTCTACAGACGGAAAGACTCGTTGTGTGGCGGTAGACGGCGGTCTAGCCATGAGCAACCCCACTGCTGCCGCGATTACGCACGTGCTACACAACAAACAGGAGTTCCCGTTCGTGCGAGGGGTGGAGGACCTTTTGGTACTTTCACTTGGGACAGGTCAGCTTCTAGAAGGAAACTTCCATTACGAGCCAGTCAAAGGGTGGAAAGCTAACCACTGGTGTCGTCCCATGGCTCGAATTTCCGGCGACAGCTCCGCCGACATGGTGGACCACGCCGTCGCCATGGCGTTTGGTCAGAACCGTTGTAGCAACTACGTCCGTATCCAGGTATAAAGACTCGAAAAACCTTCCTAATTCATCAAATTCAAAATTCGAAATTAGTTTCAACTTGAAAATCTTGCAAAATTGAAACAGTTGGGTTTAAAAATGGTATTTAGGGGTAACTAATTTTTCATGCTTAAAAATGGTAAGTTATGGTAATAATGAGATTTTACTAATTCATGTACGACATCAAACATTACAAATTTTAATGATAGTGACAAAATAAGAAAAAAGATAAGTTTTTTTTATGTTTACATTTTGTTTTAAGAACAAAAGGGCCATGCGAATTGCGATATATCATTTGATTCAATTCTGCGTCCCCTGTAAACATTCGGTAGCGAGACACTAATAATTTGTAGTTTATTTGGAAGGTTAACTTTGTGGGGGGTTTACAAATGGTATCATAATTATCATCTTGCCATACGTCAAGAGCTCAATTCCTGCATCTATAATGATTATGGAAGAATCTATTCTATTGCTCGTGATATCTGTTGTGAATATAATATGAAATTCGAGTCTTGAAGTGTTTTTGTAGTCAAGCTACCAATAACTTATCATTATGGTTTCGGTTGATTTAAAAATTAGTGGAAGTTGGTTATTCATACTATTATTGTGGTGAAAAAGAGATGGAAATTGAGCTCTGGGCTTGGAAGGGAAAAGCATGTAGGTCACCTTGTTGAGAGTTGCAACTTTAAAACAATGATTGTGTGTGTGAATGCATCATACATCCATTAAGAAACTTGGTGTGTTTGATATTTGATTACTATTCCTAATTTCCTTTTGGCAGCATGCATTTTCAAATTTTGGGACTTAAAGAATTGTTAACTTTTATAGGCAAATGGATCGAACATGGGTGGTTGTGGGGTGAATGTTGACTCGGACCCTAGTCCCAGCAATGTAAAAATGCTGACAGCAATAGCTGATGAAATGCTGAGGCAGAAAAACGTTGAATCTGTGCTGTTTGAGGGCAAGAGGATCGCTGACGAGAGTAATCTTGAAAAACTTGATTGGTTTGCCGGAGAACTTGTGGTAGAGCATCAAAGGAGGAGCTGCCGGATTGCTCCCACTGTTGCTTTTAAGCAAGCCGCCATGAAACAGACTTGAATTTCCAATAAAGGTATGTTTTTGGATCGTAAAAAGTCAAAAATTAACTAAAGGGCTATTGGTCTAGTTACCTGTAGATTCCAACCTTCTTGGAGGTTGGGAGTTCAAACTTCATCAAAAGTTGAGAATTAGTTTTAAAGAAAAGTTAAAAACTTTTGACACATGACATGTCTTGTGTTAGAATCTTGACTATCATAGAAACGGATACATATGGTGCACGCCTAAGGAGACTAGCCCATCTTGCTCTCCTACGGTTGGTTGGTTGGTCTGCCTACCGACACAAGCAAGGGCATTTTGGTCTTTTTAGAAGTGTAACATTGAAAGTGCTTGTGGGAGAGGGCTGGTGTCGTCAATTTATTGTGGTCGAGGAGAAGGATTGGTGAGCGGAATGTATTCGAGAATGAGAAAAAGACAAGAATACCCACCGGGTGGGTGAGCCCTTTTCTGGATGGAGAAGGGGTTTTAAAAGATTCGAGGGTGGTGAGGTGACCCCAGGGCCAGGGATGGGTCCTTGTTCACCATCTACTTGTTGGACGTATGCCAAGTGATTTGGAGGGTATTTAGGTAGGTGGGTAGTTTTCAAAATATACCACATGGAAAAATACCAACACCGTTGGAGTTCCCATGGATGAAAATGACATACCTTTATTTCACTAGAAATTTATTATAATGTCATATTTTTTGAGTCATTGACTTGTTAGGAAGTTGAACTCTACTACCGGTAACTCGGATAGTGTGAGACCAATGAACATTTAGTTTTTTTAATCTTACTCTTGTAGTTACTTAAAAATGGATATTTTGGGATGGAATGCAGGGGGAGGGGGAATAAAGCGATATGTACTTTGTAAAATGACACTCGATTGTCAGAAGAAAGGAAAAAGGGTAAAAGAGTACAAGGAATGTGGAGCCCAGTCTACTTGGTAAGAGGAGGGGCAAAAAAGGTAAAAAGGATGTATAATTGTATGTTGATTAATACAATTATTCCACATGATTCTTGATTTAAACAAGATATAAATGAATGATTCAAGTCCCAAGGGATAAGAATAAGATAAGATAGGAAAGGAAGATGATTAGAGTAAAGAAAAGAGAAGGGGCCGCTTGTACCATAAATAAATCAACTTGGTGTCTGTTGGCAGTTTTTGTTGCCCATTGATACACTTATTTATAGTGATTTGTGTATATGTTTTAAATTAATAGAGAGGTGTGTGATAGGTTTGTGTTTAGTCTTCCTCTATATTATTCATAGTGTAAAAGAATCATGTGTATCTTCTTTGAAGTTAAATTATGTGATTAAAAAGATGTTTGATTCATGAATATGGGGACCTTAGTTGGCAGATTGGATGATTCATTTAACTCCATCTTACAAATTCTTTTTCAAAATTTCAATATACTATAATTGAAATTGGTTTAATAATCAGTAGTAGACTTCAAGATATATATATACACACACACACATTGATTTTTTTTTTTTGATTAACCTGGATATCCAACCCGCTATGCGAGCCGACTAATCCCAGGACGACCACCTGCTTTGCAGGTAACCCGGAGTCACCGCCATAGACGGACCTAGTTAAGTGTCATGGGTGGCACGTACCACCGTATCGTTTCTCCGTCAAAGGGTAAAAAATTGAGGTTCCGTGAACGGTGCAACCGTATTAATTTGTTGTGTGCCACCGTACATATTTTGAAACTACAATTAGAATGTAGAGTTGGTTTGCAAGACTTTTATTCCAACCCACACCCAAGTCCAAATAATGTTAGTGCCATTTTCTTAGTCAAACGGTGTCACCGTTTGAAAAAAAATCTGTATCTTTGTTTCTTATAGTAAAACGGTGTCACCGTTTGAAAAAAATTTCATATATATTTTTTCTTATGGTCAAATAGTGCTACCGTTTTAAAAAAATTATGGGTCCATCCCTGGTCACCGCAGTTGAACCTTCGTGGTCATAGGGGGATTTTTGTTCCTTCTTGGATTTGAACTTGTGACCTCCCGACACTTTTGACCTTTTGAAGACAAGCTCAAACCAATCAGGCACCATCCATTGAAAGAATTATATGTAAACTACATTGATTTATTATAAATTAATATAAGCAAATAAATTTAAACTAAAATACAATAAGTTCTTAATAACATAAGAATTATATGTAAACTCAAGATCGTTCCTTTTCAAAGTACACAAATTGAAGAAAGAAGTACCATTTAAATTGAATATATAACATTGACTTCTTACTGTTTTGTAAAAGTTATATTCATGAGGTTATTTAAAAAAGATTTGAGATTATATGATGAGATCATGTTGTTTTTGTAAGATTCTGAGACCATATAAATAGAATTGAACATTTACAGCAAAACATTGTGAACTTTTACAATGTTTTTTTTCTTCTTCTCAAAAATTCGATATTGTTTATACCTTTATAATGTTTTACTGTGAAGTTTCAATGTTATTTTATGGTTTAACAGATTAAAAAAAAAAAGAACTAAATCTTCTACAAACCCATCCCTATCCAAATGTTTGGATTAGTGATGTTGAATGATGGAGTTTGTGGGTAGATAAGAATAAAAATTAAGGATGGATTAGTGAATGGTGATGTTGACAATGGAGTTTGTGGGTAGATAAGAATATAAATTAGTTGGTGGTTGTTATTCTGTTAATAATCATCGTCATACCCACAAATATTAATTATTCTGAAACTGAAAACACATTCACAAATCACTATCCATTTTCTTTATTTTGCTTTCACTTTTATTGCACCCAAAATAAATTCAAACAAAAGAATATATATCTATTTTTTGCAAACTTAAAACATAAAAGAAAAATCAGATATAAAAACCATGCAGGCTGGCTGAATTGTCACTAATAAGATTTTAAGTGAAGTGAGACATGATGTAGTGACAAGGTCAAGCTTCTAGCTTTTACATGTCACGGAGAGAAAGCGATGTTTTATAAGACATGATATAAGGGGACAAATTTGTATTATAATAATATACATATGTTTTCTATAATGATATTAAAATTTTATATTCATATTTAAAGAATAAAAATCATATATATTATATTATGAAAGTAATATTTGATTAAATATTCGAAATATATAACTTATAAGCGTAATTTTACAACTTCGTTTTGAATTTGAGTCCATAAGGTGTATGAACTTATGAAACTGTGAGCGATATGATTAGTCAAAATTATAAAAATATAAAAACATAAAAAACTAACTTAAAAAACACACGTCACAACATGCCATGACATGTCTCAAGGCATCATGGCGTGAGGTTACGAACCATATTTTACAGAAACACTATAAGTTGTATTGTAACGACGGAGATGCGTCTTATATCATTATCACATCATCATGCATCTTTTTAAACCCTGGTTATTAACTATTTTTTTGACGAATCATTACGTATTCAACATCGTATTGTTTTGTAAGAAATATATATATCTATATTAATAGTTTAAAGAAATAAGTTAATAAAGCACATAAAATGCCAAAATGGTATTGAAGAAAAAACCACATGAAATGTAACAGGTTTTGTAACTTGTTAATGATAATTTAGAAGTCATGAGTTCAAACAATATTTTTGTATGTTGTTATTTACACAAAAAAGAAAACAGATATAAATTATGCATTTTTTTTCCTTTTAAATTCACACAAAATAATTTATTAATCTTATATTAATATTTTTTTTATTAACCTGGATATCCAACCTGCTTTACGGGTAGTTCGGAGTCATCGCATTTGAACCTCCGTGGCCACAAGGGGATTTTTATTTCTCCTTGGATTTGAACTTGAGACCTCCAGACACTTTGACCTTTGGAGCCCAAGTTCAAACAAATCAGGTACCACTCTTGTGGTTTCTTATATTAATATTTAAAACCATATATTATATATCATATCACATTCTTTCAATTTCACAGTAAATAAAAACACAAATACGTGCATATTTAATTTAATCTCTATGTCTTTGGTTTCTTCCCACTTTTTTAGATTGTAAATGTTGTAAATTTGTACACATCTTCATGTTATTATACTTGTATTTTTGTTTTTGTTTTATAAACCATTGGTCTGCATATTTTCATCATCAGATTTTATCTGTAAAATATACTAAATTTATTTGTTTTATAAAAGTAACTGATAAATCACTTTTATTGTAAATATGGAATTGATAAAAACGTATTGTTTTATGTGATACGTAAGTATATTAAGGTCTTGTTTGTTTACAATATTAGATTGGATTTGTAGGGATTTGAAATTGAATTTGTTTGGTTCAAAGAATTTCTTGGATTTGAAATCTCGTGATTTCATTGAAATCCCACAAATATATGATTTTAAAATCCTGTGGTGGTGGTTGGTATTTCATGGGATTTCATATGATTTATATGTAATAATGTTTTAGAATATGTTAAAAACATTTGTTTTGTGATAGTCATTTATAAAAAAATAATTATATTAATTTTGTAATTATTTATAACTTATTTTTATAAATAATGGAATTCAATTCCACCTACAAAAACCAAATACACTAAATATTCCAAATCCTTCCAAATCCAAATCCGAATCTCTCAAAGCCATTCCATCAAACCAAACGACCCCTAAGGGATAGTTAAGTGTTTACCGATATCACTTACATTACCTATTGAGCATGAAGAGAACTGAAAATCTCACCCAGTAAGAGGCATAACAAGCTCAGAGTTTTAACCGGTAAGTAAGGGAAAAAACTCTTATCAACAATCCATTTTGATAACCGAAAATGCTACACAATAATATAACTAAGGGTGATGTCTCATGATAAACGTTTGAAGTTTGATAAACAATCCCTAAATTTATTTGGTTTATGGAATAGTTATACAAAATTCTACGATATTTTTGTTTATTTAAATTATTGGTGAATGTCGAAACATGCATTGCGTGTCGTGTTAAGTTTTGGGATGGAGTGGTTGTCTGAATCAAAAACTCAATTCTTGGGGTTTATCTTCAGGAATATTTTCCATACTTTCCACTCACGCCACTTAACGTTACTACATTTTTTTTCCAAATATATAATATAAAAGTAGAAAAACAAGATATATGATAAAATTACTCTAAAAATGCGAGAAAATATAACTAAAACAATTGATTAAAGTCCCAACATCGATTTAATACCGGTTAAGACGTTAGTGCCTATCATCGATTCTAAAAATGTAAACGGAAAGGACAAGCCCGAATTGGCTTTAATCGTTAACAAGCTCTAGCGACCCACATTTTCCATAGATAATCGTTGATTAAAATAAGCTCTCTAATCAACCCTTAACTGCAAATACAAGTTTAAATAAGCTCTTAAACTCGTAGGTGCGACTAGCTTTACCGGACTAGAAAAAAGTACCAATTCAAAGCCATAAGCTCGGCTTATCGAGGCTCTAATCGCAAGATTTCAAATATTCAATCCGGAAACCTTATCGAAACCAAATGAATACTAGCGTTACTCTATCAAAATTCTAAACGATTACGTATCTAAGAATTTTGAATAACTATTCCATAAGAGATTTCCAATCAGTTAGCTAAACTAATTAAAAACCCAAATAGAATTAACATTAAGTTCAGAAATCAAGCAAATAAGCTTGTTCAAACATGTTTACAATGAAATCTCAAAGCAATAATAAATCAAAACCTAATTAAATCAATGTTGGAATGAACAAATTAGCAAGACATGGCTAAACTAGGTTACTGATTCTAAAGGGTTTAGGACTTACCGAAAGGATCAAGAAAGATTGATGAGAAAGATTTCCGTCTTCACTCTCGCATCCGTCTTCTCCAATGGAACCCACTGTTGTCTCTTTCTCGTCTCCGACTTCTTCAATCAAACAGCCCCCTGCYGTCTCTGTCCTTTCCAATCGAACAGACCACCTGCTGTCCTCGCTCTCGCCTTCAATAGGACAGCCCCTTTCTTCTCCAATCGAACAGCCTGCTGTCCGCTTCCTCTCGAACAGCCCTTTTCCTGTCGAACAGCTCCTTCCCGCTGTCTCCATCTCGCGTCTCTTATAACGAACCAGCCTCCGACTTCTTCGATCACGTCCCTCTCCAATCCAATCGATCCCACGACTTCTCCCAATCGAACCCACGTACTCGCTCCCTCGATCCCCCACGAACAGCAGTCGTCTGCCTCCTCAATCGAACTGCATCAGGCCAATTCAAAATTGGAGAGGATGTGGGCTCTATTTGGGCTTGATGAAGTCCACAAAAGTTAGGCCACAAGTTGGGCTTTTTTCCATTTCTTTTTGGATTGGACTCTATAAAAAAACATGGGTTAAGTAAACACATTTTTTTCTCACAATGATGAAAATAAAAGGCTTCTTAACCTTAATTTTTAACCAAGAATATATAGCTATCATGAATAAACAATTTAAATGTCAGAAATGACTTAAAATATTAATAAAAATGTATATCTATACCATATTATGAAGTATTTGACAAAAACTCTTAAAAACCATTTTTTATGCATGAAGTACTGTATATTGATGTATATTACTTAAAATTGAAGATTACAAGTAAATTATGCATAAGTACAACTTATTAAAAGCTCCATGTTTGAATTTGTGTAACTAACTACGAATAAAAATAATCAAATAGAGGATAAACATCTCATTTTAAAATCTAAAATATAATTAAGATAATTATCTGAATTCTAACAAAATAAATAATTATTATTTTTATAAAAAAATTATATTATTAAACCAAATATAAATTACTTCGTTATTGAACCTATATGTAGCGCTCTTTATACTTAAGCGTCTGAGGAAGTAAATTGCGTTGGTTGCCAACGCCCCTTGCATGAAGCTAAATTGATACTCCAACACCTCAGTTTTGCGCCACATCTTGGCCTCGATCACACACTCGCATCATTTCATGGGGTGGCTAAGTAGTTTTATACCGCAATAGTTGGCACAATTCTATGTATTGCCTTTGTCCTTTATATAATGACGACACCACATTAATCCTCCACTCTTCAAGCATCACGGTTATCCTAAAGGTTCTTAAAGAGCTTCATCAACCACACCACACCACACCCGCTTTCCCCAAACAAATCCACACCTTGATAGGGCTCTGGTCCGGGCCGAACACCTTATCCTTACCCTTACTCTTGCTTATATACATCAATTTATATAAATTAATTCATCGACCAATCAAACCAACGGTCCAAGATAATATTTATGCTTTTGAATATGGTATAACAACTAACCTTTTGTTCCAAGGTAAGGATGATTACGAGTTCTGTGAAGCGTTTTAGAAAAGTGCAGTTCGTTGAATTTTTGGCAGCTGCAACGGTTCCTGGAACTCGTTGATTAATGGGAAACAGTTGACACTGTGCGTATTGAGCCATTAACTGATTGACGAGCACCAATGCTACCATTGCTTCAACCACGGGCACCGCTACAAAATCACGCATCAAAAGGTAAACCAGGCATGGAATGATAGACAACAAACCAAAACAAACGAACCCTGTATATCCCACCCGAAGGTGGGTATAGGGGATTGGGATCCTCTACCCAGGGAGTAGAGTGGTTGTTTTTATGAAGACCCATGTTTAAGACTATCGTTTTATTATCCAATTTTAGAATTGCATCTGTTTCAGTTTTTACGCGAGCCTAGATTTTGAAAACCTACTACAAAGGACAAACCTCTAGGGACAACACAGGGATCGTGTCGACCACAAGCTGTAAGTTTTCTTTCATGCTTATCTCTGGAAAAGAAGATTTCATAGTTAACCTGATCAAGTGTCAAGGTTTGGTGACCCACTGGATCCACTGGAAGTACAACTTTTTGGGCTTGAGAGACATAAGCAAGAATCTGTAAACATAAATAGAAAACCATAGAAGGTTAGTCGAAATGTTATGGCACTCAGGTCCAAATGTTAAAAGACTTCTTCAATGCTCAGAGCCGATTTATAATTCTTTATTCAATTCTATTTCTTAGTCAAACCCTGTCTGCTTAAAATTAACATGAAAAACATCGAACAAGTCTCTGCATGTCTATCCGTACAGGTATACACATGTATGTTGATTGTGCATCTGTTAAGCGCAAGCAACAATCTTTCCATGCAAAATCCTAATCGGGAAAACAATATGGAGAAGTCAACAATAACCCTCTATTCACAATCATAAAACACACCTCAGTTCCTGAATAGGCCTTAAGAATCTCCTTCGCAACAGCTCCAGAGGCAGCTCTCCGAATCGTCTCTCTAGCGGATGATCGCCCACCACCCTATGTTCATCAACATGTTTTAACTCTGAACATTTAAGTATCACAAAGCATAACCTTATTTGTATACGTGTCTATATTTGAGAAAAGAAAGTACCTCTACTGATCGTGTGCCATACTTAAAATCATAAATCGCATCAGCATGAGAAGGTCGATGAGCCATTGACATTTCAATGTAGTCCTGGCAATTCCAATTACAGACACACTGTCAATCTTACGAACACCAAAATGATGAGCATGTTTGTCTCAGAATCCTCATATCAGAATGTATTAGGATTTCTAAACAATATAAAAATATATTAAGAGACAAAAATACTTGAGAGTAAAGCAAAACAACTAGACAACAAGTCCTAAATATAAAACCAAAATCCCCAATATGATGGAGATGAAGACATCACAGCATGCAATTATGTAAATCCCAATGAGCACATTTATGTAAACGAATGTTACAAAAAGCTAATTCAAGAATTCATGAAAAAAAGATGGTTATGGCTAACCATATACTACTGTAGTATTCAACTGAAATAATCATTGATTCTGGAATACTCCATCATTATCATATTAAACAATCGTGAATTTATAATACCCTAGTGTGCTGAATATTTTTGTAACCCATTACAGTCTCCATATTGTCACTATCGACATCACAATTCACCGCATTGAGTACTCACTTTTCCTCTCTGATCTGTGTTTGGTACTTTTATCATGATTGGAGATCCAGTTGTATATCCTGCAGCAAATGCACAAAACATCACTCTAGTTCATAAGATTGCATAGGAAAATCTTCTAACGAAGATGACCATAGAACCGGATGATATTAAGGGAGATATTAACGACAAACTAACCTTCAGCAACACCTTAATATATGCAACATGTGTCAGTTTCCTTTCTAGGTGTGGTAATCCCCCTCTGGCCTGGCCTCCTGTACAAGAGTTCAGCTTTATTGCAAGATAACATATTGCTGGAAAAGCTAAAGACAAATGACATCTAGTGTTGGCTTACACGAAAAGCACACTTCTTCCCATAAATAAGTGTGGTGAGGTGGAAAGTGGTTTGAGTTAAAGACATGCAATTAGCATTAAAGTAATTTGGGATGAAGGGATTAAAGTTAAGCTGCTTAATTCGTCATTAATTGGCAGAATGGATCCTACCTAGTATTACATAGACAGATTTCTATACAGTTTATCTTGACCATTGCGGGAAGAGTGAATTTCTTATATCTATGATCTAAATTGTAATTATAGCAAGTGCCACACAGGGATAAGTAAGATGGTACCTTCTGTCCAGATCTAATTGTAAAGCAGCCTCTGAGAGGGGAATTCAAGGGGGGCGCCCATCGATCAGACAACCAACACCTCCACCATGAGATTCTCCAAATGTTGTTTACACAAAAGTAATTTCCATATGTACTTCCGACTGCCTGTATCTCTGTAAATGCAAGGTGTCAAGAAGTTTCAGCATGTATTCTGAATTTGTAAAGTATGGATAAGCAAAGCAACCACAAACACAGAAGACTACTAAAGGGCCATTGGCCTAAAGGTATCTGGTATATCCGCTAACCCAACCTTTCTAGAGGTCAAAGGGTTCAAACCTAACCAATATGTGAGGAGTGTGTGTGAGTTTTATTTGCCCTATATATATATATATATATATATATTATGTACTTAAAAAAGCACACATCCAGCCACAAGTTTTAGAAAGAAAATAAGTAGTCACTGTATCAGATCCAACCAATACTGTTTTCTAAAGAAATCAGCTTTGTGATCAAAGTTAGCAACAACAAAAAATTAGCCTTTGTGAAGAAATAAGGTATAATTGTTTTCTAAAGATATAAAACTTGGTAAATATAAAGCTGGCAAGCTGAGTTCAAGCTTATTGAGCATCAGTCTCTTATGGCATTTTAGGGAAATTATTTATTCATCGATCATGCCTTAAAATTTCATCACCACAGTTTCTGGTGTTAAAGTGAAAAGACAGACACTCATGAGATTCAGATATTAATCAATTTTGTAGAAAAAATGGGATGTACTTGGAGTCACAAATGCATGAGTAAGCAATTCTGAGTATTTATGATGGGTGCTGTTTGATTTAATGTGGATGATCAAATGTCAAAGATCATCAGGTGAAACACTCAAATATCAAAGTTCAGTTTCTAAGGGTATAGTAATGAACATAAGTTGCAAGTAGTAAAGCAGCATATAGAGCTAAAACTCTTATCTAAGTCTAGCAAAGTGGGATGACATTTTGTTGTGTGCATTTGTCACTGTTTTTTCTGAATGTGAACTTTGGTGCAATTGCCTGGAAATGATCAGTGTTAAAACTTGGTATGATAAGTAAAAATCTGTGGTATGTTAAAAGTTTTGAAGCAGGCAACACTGTGGAATGCAACAGGTCGTAAGATAACCTTTTACTTTTAGGCCCTTCTTAATCAGCAAAGCAGGAACAGGGCATTCAAAACCACAACTCTTAAGTCTAAGATATTAGCACCTGAGAGGAGGGTCCAATATGATTCAATTTATAAGCTTGATGATCTCTGGTATCTAGAGATCAATTTCTACAATCCATACTGTTAGATGGAATCTCTCTCTCAATATATATATCTCATGAATTTTCCTAAAAATTTCTGTGATAAGGAGTTGGGCTTATCCATTGTCACCTCCAAGGAAATGCCCAAGTTACTACAGATAGATTCAAAAAAGTTTCACATACCCTCACATGAGCCGGCGTAGCACCTATAGGGACTCACAAACTCAATACAATCTAGCCTAGCATCAGTTTGAGGGGGCGTGGTGGAGTCCATCGAATTAAACCACGTATGTACATGTTGGAATTTGGCTTATATGCAAGAAACTTTGTCCCACGTAGGAGGCTCATGAAAATTGTACCCAGGACCAAACACTTGACCACTAAAAGAATCAGAGTTTGGACCTTGGTGTGTGGGTGTTCACGGTGGGCTTTTCTTGGTTTCTCTCATTTTTCTCTCCAAATTCCATCACCAAACATATCTTAATTCGCTGACACTATGTTGATGCAGGCCTCGATCCGTGTTCGTTATACCAAGAATCAGCAAATTACGAGTAAGATTCTCGAATTCTATCAATTGTTCTTGTTTTATGTTCGTTTCATCGATATGTATAAGAATATTTCCATTTTCTGCGAACTTTTTACATTACTATACACATATTTCTACTTTCGATTGATTACTCCTAACAGTATACGATGGATCTCCCTCTCTCCCAATGAGGGCTGTCTTTGATGGAGATTCAAATGGCTCAACATATCCTCCTAAATCCCCTGATATGCTCACAAAACGTCAAAACGCATCAAGACGAAAGTACCATCGCATCGTTTGATTAATGTAATAAAGTTGATGAGAACTTCCACTTTTCAATGATAATCAGAAAAAAACTAGATACACTAAACTAATTCGTTGATTTCGTTTATAAATGAACTTTCCAAACCGTAATTCTGTCAATGTCACGTTTAGAGACAGATTGAACCAACTGACAAGCAATAAAAAAAACAAAAAATTGCAATTATGATTAGAAATCTCAGTCTTATTCGCATTTTTTAATTATCCACCGCAACAGCAAAAGATCAGAAAATATATAACAACGATATGGGAGATCATCAAATATGGGGACTCACCCACTTTTTACCGTCGTTGAGATATGGAGGATTGCAGAGCGGAGATCTGATTGGCGTAGGGAGTTCAGGCATGAAGGGGTAACGGAGGATGAAGCTCCGAACGAAAGGTCTGGTAGATAGAGAAGACGCCATTTGGTTCGCGAAGAAACCACGTACGTGATCATTCGAACAACGCCATTTTGTAAAAGTGCTTATTGATTTATGGTTAAATAAACAAGGTTAAAATTATTAATTGGTAATAAATAATTTTTATAAGTCAAAAAGAATTAACTTATCAAAAATATATAAGTAGTTTTTTTTTCTTATCCAAACACTAGAAAACAGCTTATATTGAGGTCAGACTGAAATAAGTTAAAAAACAGCTTTTATAAACAATCCCAAACCACTCCTAATATTTAATAAATTATTAAAATATAAAAATCATATAAAATTAATATTTTGAAGATGATGAACAAAAAGTTTAAAAAATTTATTTAAAATTTAAAAATGAATAAAATATAAAGTAAAAAAACGTATCTAATGTTTTAATTTATTTTTAGATACGGTGACTTTGATGTATTTTGGTTTACCTTATTAGTGTTAGTATTTATTTAAAACTGATCAAATAATGAAAATCTCTTTTTGCCATCTTCACCATAATGTCTTTTGTCATCGAAAACCAACCCCATATATATATATACACTGTATTATAAAGCATTTGACAAAAACTCTTAAAAACTATTTTTTATACACGAAGTACTGTTTATTGATACATATTACTTAAAATTTAAGATTACAAGTAAATTATGCATACGTATAACTTAGTAAAGTTTCATATTTGAATTCGTGTAACTAATTGCAGATAAACATAATCAAATATTGGATAAAGATCTCGTTTTAAATATAAAAAATCTAAAATATAATTAGAATAATCATAGAGTTCTAACAGAATATTTAGTTATTATCTTT